CAGCCTGGCACTACATTGTCACCAAAGATCATGTGCAAAGGCTTATACAGTCTATGCCAAAGCAATGCCGCCTGGTGATAAGCAATACTAATTTCATATTAGTAATCATGTTTGCTTACTTAAATGGTCTTTTTCAGAGCCACAAACAATAAAAATGTTAACAAAACACTAGCATCGGCCTTAGTCATTGCAACACGTATGCCACTGAGTATGCATCAGTTAATCTGTTTTTATAGTATTGTAAGTATGCAAGAAAATTCACAATCCCAATCCAAACAGCACCAAATTGCAAAAAGCTTATGCTTTTCACTTAAAAACCACCAGTATTTATTTAAATATAACAATGCATGGCAGTTGGCATAAAATATCATAAAATCAATGGCCTATCCAAAAAATGTCATAAACCGTAAAGTTTGCAGGAGTTTTTCACACAGCTGTAGCTTTTACTTAAACATCAGCTTCCTTGTGTTAATTTTGTCATAATTTGAATTATACTTTTAAATAAAATTATATTATTAACTTTGCTAGTAAAATAGAAATCAATGCCAGTGATAAAGCTTCCTTTTACTGTTGTTTTAATACAGTTGTCAAGTAGCATTGTCAAATAGCTAGCTCCAATAAGATTCTGGAATGACATTTTACATAAGTAACTGATGTTCCTGCAAATAATTGCTACAACTTCAATTATATATGTATCTTTGTTGCAGTGTTAAATCTAGGTCAATCCTGGGCATTTTACAGCCTGTGGGCCTCATCCAGTCCACATCTGGCCCTTTAGCTATCTCTGACTGGCCAACAGTGATTGTGGGTAGGAAGGCAGCAGTGGGGGGGAGGGGGCATGGCAGTCCTCCTCAACTGTTCCGGTTTCTCATGTGGCCCCTTGGGAAAATTAATTGCCCACCCATGATCTAGGTAAACACCTGTGCAAGAGTTTTCTGTTAAATAGGAGATAATGTATGTTTGTGTGTTAGCATGGGTTATAGAAGTTGATGTTATTAATATATCATTAAGAGCAAAAAGTAAAGTACTGCATACTTATTTTAGGTAATCCTCCACTTAGCAATCCATACGGTGATCCTAATTTATCACAACCAATAATGGCACTGCAGCAAAATGTGGCAGACATTTTGTTTGTGCGGACCAGTTATGTGAAAAAAATCATAGAAGATTGTAGTAATTCAGAAGAGACTATCAAACTACTTCGTTTCTGCTGTTGGGAAAATCCTCAGTTTTCATCTACAGTTCTCAGTGAACTACTTTGGCAGGTAAAAGCAAAAAAGTGTATCCTGTGGAAATGGTTTTGTCATATCATTGTTACTGATATATGTACGGTTTGATTCATATCCATATAAAATATTTGTGGCCCACATCTCAAATATATTTCCAAGCAAAATGGCTCCAGCATATTAAAACAAGTAATTAATAGCAGAATTGAAGTTTCTGAATCAGCTCACGGGAATTGGTTTGGTTTATGTCTTTTGTCGCACTGAACTTTAAGAACCGATTTTTACTGTTGAAGAAGCAACTTCAGTGCATGGGAAGCAATTCATAAACAGTTTTCATGCAGTTTAATTCACACTATATGGCAAAACTCAATTAACAAAGGATTTTACATGACATAGAACAGTGATGGATGGTGCATGCCCCACCCACCTGTGCATGCATGCATGACCCTCCCATGTAGGAGGGAGTTTTTGCCCTCCCCAGGTTCCGGAGGCTTTCCTGAATCCTGGGGAGAGTGAAAAACAGACCCAACGGGCCAACTGGAAGTTCAGAAACAATCTTTATTTATTTTATATATTTTATTTATTTTATATATTTTATTTATTTTATATATTTTATTTATTTTATATATTTTATTTATTTTATATATTTTATTTATTTTATATATTTTATTTA